CAGAGAGAGGGCGGCCCCTGGATGAGGTTTTTTTTTTTTTTTTTAATAACTAGAGAACATACCCTAGGACATTTTAAATATTTTATTTACGAAAATTCAAAACGGGTAAGTGTCCTGAAAAGACACCGGCTCTGGAAATGGGACATTTTGGTGTGAGCTCCCTGTGGGTGGGGACCGGCTCAGCCCCCATCACCAGGCAGCACAAGGCAGAGGCGTGTGGGGGAGTGCTCGGTTGGAAGAACAGCCAGAAACTTGTTGGAACTTGTGGCAAAACTGGGTGGGACCTGGAACCCCAGGGGCAAGGTGGAAGGTCTGACCGAGATCTGAGATCTCGCAAATACAGGTGCGTCCAGGGGCCTCAGAGAACCTGTGGCCGGTGAGGCCACCTGGAGGGCAGGACAGAGGCGGGCAGAGAAGGTGGCAAAGCAGGAGGACCAGGGCCGGTTTAGGAGAATCTGACTGAAACTAAGGTGCAGGGAGAGGAAGAGGGCAGGGTGGGACTTTGCAAACTATAAGGTATTGGCAATTCTGGTCGACTCTTTGGTCATACTTGTTGAGAAGATTAGACTCCTGGATGTGTTAATATCGATGCGTTAGTCCGGGTAGCTTGTACTTCTGACAAGGAAGCAGGGTACCTGAGTGCTTCCTTAGACAGTAAGTCCTCTTTCCTCTTTGTTTGCTGTGGCCTCACAGCACTACCCTGGCGTATTGGAATTTTCTGTTTATGATCTGTCTCTCACTATATGGCAAGACCTTCTGATTCATCGCTATTCTGTGCTCCTAACACTTAGCAAAGTGCCTGGCACATACAGTGTCTCACTGTTTGGGGGCTGCTGGTGATGGAGACCAGGCAGGGGTTACCTGGGCGGGCTCTCACCTGGGCTTCTGTAATCTGAGAGGCAAGGATCGCCCCTTGGGGACAGCTGAGACACCCCCAGGCAGGCTGGGAGGCGTTGGGGACACTGCTCAGATCCAGCCACGGGTCTGATCTGGGCCCAGGTGGTCTGGCTCTGGCACCACCTGCCACCCCACCCCCCTGTGGTTTCCGACGGTGCCTGGTGGGGTCCAGGGCAGATGCTGGGGGTCCCCGTGGGGCTGCGGCCTGGGCGCTCCTACCTGACTTGTACAGTGGGCTTCAAAGGCTTTTTGGGGTGGGGGAGCGAGAGGGTTCAATTGCTTAAAATATCACAAGGAAAACCACTAGCCTGGATGGTGTGAATCAGGATTCTGCGTATACTCCCCAAAGGAGGGGCAGCTGGGAGCCACCGGCGCTGGCACCTGGCAGGGCTCCCAGCCCATCGCCCTCCGCAGCGCTGCCCCAGGAAGCCCAGCTCCCACTCTGTTGTCCGCCGAGTGGGAGGCCTCTTGCTCCAGGTCACAACTTGCTCTGAAGTGGAGCCAAGGCCCACGGTGGGCGGGCAGGCTCCCGGGGAAGGCCAGGTCCACTCTGGCGAGCTGGCCTGCACCCCAAGCAAATGTTTGCTGGGAAGAGTAACGCCTGCTCTCCGGGTGTGTGACCACATGCGATTCTGATAAACGTTCACTTAGGAAATGTGTGGTGATAACAGAGTACTGACTGACCCGACCGCTTTCACATTTCTCACTAAGCCTCACTTATCCACTGACCCTTATAAATGCCAGCAAAACACACTTTTAAGGGAGCTAATAAAATAACCACATTTTGGGAAGAAAATACCAAACGAACAAGTTAGTACTCCAATTTAATCCGTCAGTGATTTTGTCTGGTATTGTGCGAAGAGTTTTGGGAAGTGCGGGGGCAACCACAATATTTTCCCACTTTGTAAATGATCAGGTGATGTGCGTTCTCTCAGGACCACCACCTGAGCCTGTGTATTTCCTACCGCTTCCCGTGTCGATGAGCTGGGTGCACAGACGGGGTGCCGTCCCAGGAAGGGGTCCCGGGTGGAGCCCTGTCCAGAGCGGAGGTGATCTGGCGTACTCATGAGCAAAACGCTGTGAACAGGCAATGGCCAGTGAGCCATCCCAGGCCACCCAGGCTGCCCCGGTGTCTGCCATCCGGACTGTCACAGGAGTCACCTCTTCCTCCCCAGAGCCCGTCTCCGCCAAAGGCCAGAGCGACCTTGATAAAACACTCAGGTCACGAAAATCCCCTCTGAGAGGGCTCCAGAGCCCTTCCAGGTCGGGACAGACCAGGCCTAAGAGGCCAGTGAGATCTGTGGCCCTGATGCTGGCCCTGACTTCCCCCGGCACCATCCCCTAGGCAGGCCACCCGCCAGCCTCACTCTTCTTTCTATAATCCAACTGAAATTCAAGTAGGAGGCAACGTAAAGAGTAAACCCAAGTGTGACATTCTTAGAGGAAATTCTTAGGATTCTACTAAGATACTGTAGATTTTTCATTATAAAGAGTAATCTCACGTAGAATCTCAAATTCTTAATAATAAAGAAGAATCTTAAACATTCTTCTAAGTTTTCCTTCTAAAATTAAATAACTCTGAAATTAACTTTTAATGATAGGACATATTTGGTTCAAAAATTGTTCTAGATCTACAGGAAAATAAACAAGATCCTCAAGGAATTGGATTGCGACACAGACTTTCTCAAGGATTTAATCCAAAAAAAGTACTAGACTTAGTAAATTCGTGTTATGTTTACTACTGAAATACTTGAGTTAGCTCTACTTTTATGACTTTTACAATACACATTTTCTTTAAACAAAAGTTAATTGTCTTCAAAGGTACCAAGTGTTATTAGTATATAAGTCAGAGATTTGTCTTAATGTCACTCTTAAGGGGATCATCAAAACGTAAATTCAAGAACTATTTAATCTAATGATATAAGTGATGAATATTTCAGAGTACTATAGAATAAGTGTTACTGAAAACTGTGCATATTAAAACACAATTTTCAGGAAGAAAGTTATATATTAGATATTAATTTCCTCATTTATATAAGTATAGGCTCAGTTGTAAACATAATCTCACTTGACATGGACAGAGACACATATGACAACAGAATGTAGGTTTAAAAACTACCAAAAAAAGTATTACCTCTGAAAAAGTATAATTGCATTTGCATCTGCTGGTTCCCAATTCTCTTTTATTTTATTAATAGTTAATTACGATTTCCGATAATCATTTTTTTTTTTTTGCGGTACGCGGGCTTCTCACTATTGTGGCCTCTCACGCGCAGGCTCAGCGGCCATGGCTCACAGGCCCAGCCGCTCCGCGGCATGTGGGATCTTCCCAGACCGGGGCACGAACCCGTGTCCCCTGCATCAGCGGGCGGACTCTCAACCACTGCGCCACCAGGGAAGCCCCCGATAATCATTTTTAAGTTGCCTCAACATATCTATATGAAAATACATGCCTTCAATGCAAATGGTTTCTTGAGTTTTATTTTTTTAATTAAAAATCATGCTATACCTCAAAAACACATTTGCAAATTAGGTGCTTTGGATTCCTTAGTAACCCACGTGGGAGTTACTGGATTTCAGATAGAATCTGGGAGCTCTTGTCACATGTGAGTTTGTCATAACAAAAGAAAGAAGATGTGACAGATCGATACATCTTGATGCTAATTTCTCTTTATATGCTAAGAATAACTTTTCCCTTCATCAGAACCACATAGGAAATGTTTTATTATGACTTTTAGGCAAGCATGCAGGACAAAATTTAAAACTCAAATACATGTCTATAAATGTATAAATCTGAAGTTGAATAAGAACAACCTGATTTCAGCTAGGACCTTGCAGTCTTGGGTGACTTTTCCAATATGTAAATCATCACAGTGAGCTGGGAGGACCCAGAGCTCCAGTTGGCTGAAGCACGGCTTTGGCCCCCCATCGTCTCCTTGAGCCCCCTCCACACCACTCAGTTGAAGACACAGTTAACTAAAAAACACTGTGCCTGCCACACCAACTGGCATGGCCCCCTTTTCTAGGTAGTTCACCACCGCTACCTCTGTCTTTTTAGAAATTCTAGGAGTTTCACTGGCTATATGGGAATGCTTATCAGAAACAAAAATCACATGAGAGGATGCAAAAAAAGCTTTAAAATGTAATTCTTATCCGCCATCTGGATACAGAGCCTACAGGGCAGGTGTGTTCTACTGAAGGGGAGGGGAGGGGGCACATGGGCCCATCTGTCTTACACACTGGGTCCTGCATCAGCTTCCCTCAGAAAAGAGGATTCTGAGAATGAAAAATGTCTCAAGACCACCATGCCAGGCAGTGGAGACTTTGAAACACTGTTTTGGAGGGGTACACATGCACACACACACATGCTCTCTGGGCACAATTGTTAACAAAAATGATTTTCTGAGAAATTGAAAAACTATTTTCTCCTTCAAGACATGTTTAATCAAATTACCAAATAACAATATTTTAAAGAAACGTACGTCCACCAAACAAGAGAAAACTAATATTCATAACACCCTTTCGCATAAGCAACATTGCCATCCAAGTGATTAGAAAAGCAGCCCTAAATCCTGCAGATCTGAAGTAAATCACATTTTCCCAGGATACAGTCAACATTCAGAAGTAATCCATGTATGACCTACAGCTGGCATGCGCCTCTCATTTGAGCTGAAGGATGCATGTCTTTTAAGAGTGAACTGAATTCTGTTCTCTTACTCCCAAGGATGCAGTCACATACCATAAAGCCTTTCTCTCTGCTCGTGTAATTTCTACTTTTTTGTTATCTGGGAAACGGCTTAATTGTTGATTTAGGAATACACAGAGGAAAAAGTACTACCAATATTTCTTAGAGGTATGCTGTCTCCCTGATCATCACCCCCACCGATATACTCATAAAAGCATTTCTTACAATCTTATTGTCTTTAATATTTTTAACACGTTAATATTTGGGTATGGAGGGAAGCACTTCTCCTAAGCAGAGAGCTAGATTTTGAAGAAAGTCAAAGATGAAATAATATTAACATTGGTTCTCAGTAAGCCACCTCGTTAAAAAACTGTTCCACCGTGTACCATTTAAAATATTTCAGTAAGGATTTACTTACCTGGGAATATTCAAAGTCAGTGATGGGGGCTATGCTCTTGATATAGTCTGATCGAAACTGGTTTTCTGGGTTGGCCAGTGGAACTGGGGGAATTATAGTACTCATCGCCGAAACAATCGTCTAAAGTGGAGTGAAGGAAAAAGATACATGGATAAATAAACCATTTAGGCTCCATGTGTGGTAATCTAGTGCATAATTTCTGTCTACGCAGTTTGAGGGAGCAGAGGGTGCAACCTTACTACTGAACAAATATTAAAAGAAATTCCTGGGATTTCCCTGGCAGTCCAGTGGCTTCCACTGCAGGGCGCACGGGTTCAATCCCTGGTCGGGGAACTAAGATCCTGCATGCTGCACGGCAAGGCCGAAAAAAAAAAAAAAATTCCTTACCACAATAGCATCCTTAACGTTTTTCCGGATGTCCAGAATTTTCTGTTTCTTCTCCCTGTATGAAAACAGAATGGTTATTAATTAACTTTACACATTGCCCCAAATCAGTTGAGTGGGATTTTAAATTCCCAGCTGCAGGGGGTCTACAATGGTACTACCTGAGGTCAACATTAGCCCCAGGACAACAGTGCAAAGTTTTTTATGTGGAAAAGGAAAACATCCACCTTTACTGGTTTGGACTCTAAACAAACGTGCACACACCACAATCTCTAGCTCTAGACAACAACACAGGTTTTACGTAACATGGCAAAATCATCATGACTATTGCATATAAACACTACAGGGCTACACCTGTAAATATGTTTTATTTGAATCTATCCATATGTTGATTGAAATAGATGCAGACAAATGATATAGAGAGAAGTATACATAGACACATTGGTTAAGTGTGCTCAGCGCAACATCAATAATGCAGATCAATACCTCAAGAGTATTTAATAAATCATATATTGTTATTTTATTTTGATGTAGACACTGCCAGAAGAAAGATTTGCCTAAATATGCCAAATTCAACAACTTACTTCTATATCCGCCCCCCCCTCCCCCAAAAGGTCGACTCAAAGATCAAATTAACTGTTTAGAGAAAACACTTTGGGGAGGCCGGGAAAGCAGTGACAAAATGTGCATGCAGTTGGGAAGCAAACCCGAAATCGGTCATTTCTTACTCGGGATTAAATCCATTGACGTGCAGGATCCTCATTTGTTTGACGATAGTGCTTTTCCCAGACTCACCAGCCCCTACAAACAAACAGAGAGAATGCTGTGATCTGTGGCCGAGGACCGTAGCCATCTCTCACGCCTACCGAGACTGAACTAGTGTCCTGCCCCCACGCGGGCGTTTCCAGGTGCGCTCTTGCTATCTGCGGGGGCGCGGGCCCTGCCCGCCCGGCCCTCTCCGCGCTCCAGGCCGTGCGCCCCGGGCCATGCGCTCCGCTCGGGCCGTGCGCCGCCGCGCACCCCCCGCCTTACCCAGTAGCAGCAGGCGGTGAGTCGCTTTGTAAGCCAGGCGCTCCTTCTGCAACTGCTTCTCGATCTTTTTGTTGGCCTCACGTCTTTCCTTTTCATCGACGCCCTGGTCTTCTGGCGTCTTGCTGTTGCCCAAACACCCCATGCCTGACCGCTTGCGTGGACGTCAGGCGCAGTTAGGAATTGCACAAAAGTAGAGAGTTGTAGGTGTGTGTGGATCCTGCGGCGGCCCCTCTTCCTCGCTGCTGAAAGAGATGCTCAGGTCTCTCGGTGTTTTCCGATCGCAACAGGCGTTTCTTCTCCCTCCCCCTCCCCGCCGCGAACTCTCGACTAAGAGGACACAAGGAAGACGCGCGGAGCCAACTACTTTTTAAAGACACTTGTTTAGAATTATCTGCTGGATAAACAGCAGTGAGCGGAGACGGGGCCAAGGGCGGCAGGACCGCCGGAGCCAGCTGGGTGGCGCTGGCCCTCCCCTCGCCCCGCGCCCGATGCGCTGCCCGGGGGTACCCCGAGCAGGCACGCTCGGCCCGGTGCCCGGGCCCCGCCGGTGGCGGCCGAACGCGGCGCGGAGGGACGGAGCGCACCGGGTCCCCGCCAATAACTGCGAACACCCGCTGGCCACCCGCGCCCCATCCCGGGTCCGAGCCCCTAGGGCCTCTCCGCGGCGGGGTGGGGAGCCGGCTCGGGGGTGGCCAGGCCGCGGGTCCCGGGGTCTGGAGGGGTGGCGGCCGCCCTCGAAGGGCCCCCGCGGAGGCTCACCCGCTTGCGGTCCGGACGCGGCGCGCGGCTCCCTCGCAGCCCGAGCGGCACTAGGTCTGGGCGTGCGCTCCCGGATCCCGCGCCGCCTCCGGCTCCCAGCGCGCGGGGCCTCGCGCATGATCATGCATATTCTATAAGGGGGAGGGTCCGTGCCGGGCTCGGGCACCCCGCCTTCCCCCGTTACCGTTCTAGACGGTTCCAGCGCACCCACGCCGCCTCCCGCAGCCTCCTGTGTGCCTCCCGCCCCCGGCTCTCTGCGCGCTCTGAGCAGCTTTGCTACTTTTCTGGAAGACGCCGTGGCCCCGAGCCTGGCACCGCTGCCAGAACCAGTGAGGGCGGCTGCTGGTTTCCACCTGTTGAGCGGGTGCCCGTCGCTCCCCATCCGCGCTGCTGGACGCGGGGGGCGCAGAGCCGTGACCGCGGAGGTCGCCTCCCGGTACGTCGCTGGTACCAGTTTCGGGTCTCCAGGCCAGGGGCCCTGACGCCGCCGTCAAGTCCCCACTCCCCTCCGGCTCCACCGTATTCCCTCACGGTCATCGCGCCTGGCCTCCTGCACGGACCGTGGTCTCCGCCGCCCCTGCCCCTGCGCCCTGGGCCCCGCGGGCCTCACCCGCCTCCCCGCTCTCTTCTCCTCCCTTCTCTACGGATTGTTCCGTCGGGCGGACAAACACGTTCCGTCCCATTTGACGGCCCATCCTACAGCCTCAGGCCCTGCGTCAGCCCCGCCGTGTCCTTCTGCCCACAGACCGGCTCCGAGTTAAAACCAGGATCTGACTCCCTTTGCCATTCCCCACCTCCCATTCACGCCTCAGGTCCCGGCACCTAGCTTCGGCCCACCTGCTTCACTGAAATACTCTCACGGGGTCATCAGTGGACCCCCGGGGTCAAACTTCATCCAGGAACTGTGGTCTTTACCATCTCTGACCCCCCTGGAGTCTCTCCGGTCCTTCGGCTTCCCCGACGTGGCCTTTGGGTTTCCCGCCCACTCTCTACCTGGAGAGGAGGCTCAGACCCAGCACAGCCCTTGTCCCCTTAATGCCCTGCCCTTGGGGGCTGACTGCCTCCCCCATCCTCTGCACACGCGGCTCTGACGACGGGCCACACAAGGCCTCCAGCCCAGCCCACCCTCCTGACCACCAGTGCGGCAAGCACACCTCCACCACCGTGCCTCCAGGATCTCCTCCCCGTGCCCACCCACACCTCCAGCGCGCTCCTCTCTCTCTCTGTGAATAAGGCCCCTGATTTTCCCAACCAGAACATGGCAGTCATTCCTGACTCCTTTTCCTTCTTGCAAACCCAGTTACCGTATTCCTTTGGGTCCGTTTCCTAAACATCGTTCCTGTTCTTTCTACCCCATCTGCTGTTGCCATGGTCACTGTCCAGGCTGGATGTCACAAGTGGCCTCCTGCTCACACATTCCGGCCCACCTGCACAGTGCTGCCACAGTGACAATGCAAATCTCATCACATCACTGTCCCCACCACTGCCAAGCCCCCAGCCACGGTCCATCAAGACTGGGTCCGTGTAAACTCCTCAGCTTCAGCTCTCATGTCCCCCCTTCCTGGCGCTGCCCCAGCCCCCCTTTGACCCCTTGCACATGGACACCCGAGTGCCTGGCTTGGGTGCATGCGCTGCTTCACTCTCTGCGAGACGTGTGGCCCCTTCTTCACTTGACCAACTCTTAGTCACCCTTCCTGCCTCACCACTGCTTCCACAGTCAGGGCCAGGCCCCCTTCTCTGTCCTCCAGTATCTCACAGCACCTACACTATAATGGTTTGTTTGCTGCTCTTTCAAATGTCCACTGGACTCGAGACCCAGTGAGGGCCGGGGCGGAGCCTGCACTTCACACCTGCTGGGCTGTGCCCAGTTCAGTGCCTGGCCCCGGGAGATGCCCCTTGAGTCTTTGTTTGATGGATGAACAAATTCACGAAGGCCAAAGATAACTCCCGCTCCAAGTGTGGGTTCTCATGAAAGGAATTTGACGACCAGATTTTAAATTCATAAAATACTTGTCCAGTTTAGTACTGTATCCAAATAAGAATACTCTTTAAAAAACAAAAGCAGTAGTGTCTCTTCTTGACACAGCAGAAGCAAACACGCAGTGCCATGCCATATTCTGAGCTGGATAAGAGTTTTAGCTTGTGGAGGGACACTGTTTAGCACTGTTGTGAGGCCTCACTCCTTGTGTTAACACAAGCATTCACCTACGGCAACATTCACGTGGCCTGTTCGGTGGCTGACGGGGCAGTCGGAGGCGAGAACAGGTGTACAAAAATAGAGTGCGGTGGGATGTTTTAAAAGATTTGTCTCTTTTTTTAATGCCAAGGTTTCTATAAATTGTTAGCTGGAAGAAAAGGGGACAAAACAAATCCCACCAAACTTATAAAGGGAGAAAAAAGTTAGAACCTGGAACCCTGAAAACATAGCAAAAGGTTTTCACTTGTTCTTATCTAGGAATTAGGGTTAAAATAACTCGTTTCTACGACTTATCCAGTGATTACTGGCCCTGGGCTAAATCCTTTCCATGGAGCAATTTATTTAGCATTTGCAATAACCCTAAAAGGAACTACTGTGACCGTTATTTTACAGAATGTTAGAGGGTGCATAAGAGGTGTGTCTGTGATCTAAACCCTTGCAGCCTGGCTGCAGCGTCTGCACTGTAAGTGCACAGAACACTGCTAACTACTCCAAAACATAAAAGCTACGTGCCTACAAAGCGATGCAACCTTTCTGATGAGAAATGCCAAGCCCATCTTTACATAGTCTATTATCAGGTAGGAGCTCAAGACACTTTAAAAAAAAAAAAACCCCAGTCACCTGGCCTTTTCCTAGTCTGGTCTGGGAAACCGATCCTCATTTGAGTTTTGAACCCTGGGATCAGAATCCAGAATCCCTGCTGGCTCACCTGGAGCGCGGGAGCGGCGCTGTTGGGGAGCAGCCTGGAGCTGGCAGTGCCGGCATCTGTCGCTAGGCAACGGCAGCGCAGCATCAGCACCACTCGCACAGCGCACACCCACCTGCGGAGGCGAAGGGCCGCCGGCAGCGCGCTGCCAGCAGAGGGGGCGGCCGGGCGGGGGACGCCCTGGGCAGCAAGAAGGGTTGGGAAGGCACAAAGTTTGGGGCGAAAGGGCAAACGTAAAACAAAGTGGTGTTTTCCTGCTCTTGTTGATGTTTAAGACAAGGTGTCTCAGAAGTCTTAGTGCATTTGACTAAGTGCATTTGAATTATTTGAATTTCTTTTGTACTTAGTTTTGTGAATTTTGAATAACAATTTTGAAATCTGTTTTTGTTTGAGCCCCTCCGATTGAAGTTGGCAAATGTCGAAAAGATCACAGCTGTTCTCTGGTTAGCTGGACCCAAGTCCTCGTTGATAACAATGAGAACAAAATTTGTCTCCCGTTATAAGGAGGACCTCCGCAGAAATTTAATTAACAAAATGAAAAATTCAAAGGAACTGTTTCACATCACTACAGGCCTGGATCCAGGAGATGCTGAGCCAGTTTGAAAAGTGACTAGAATGCTGTCTGGCATGAGATAGCGGACATATTGAATTTAATTTTTAAAAATCAATGTTTTAAAACGTTAATAACTGGTCTAGCATTTTATACTGTAAAGGTTAAAACTGCACTCTAAGGCATTTGGAGCAGGTACATTGAAAGATTTTAAAGAAGAGGAACAAAGCAGAGTGGGAGAACCGAACCCTCACTCAATGCAGTGACCAGGCCGAAGAAACGAAAAGCTGCGCCCAGTTTTGTAAACAAACTTGGTGGAGCTGGAGCCCAGGCGGTTGAGTGGCCTGTGTGCACACGGCCCTCGTGCTGCTTCCTGTCATTTAACACCTTGCAGTTCGTTGTTTTCTCTCTTTCCTTTCTTAGTGTCTCGGTGGAAATGGTCTGTGTGGATTATTTTCATTCTCAGCAGCATTCTCACCCCACGACCTAATCACAACACACTTTAAAAATCTTGTGAATTTTTTTTTTACATTTTTAAATAGAAAAGTAGGGAAACGTTTTCAACATTCCCTTTCTGTACATAGCACTCTGCAATCAAATATTTTAGAATTTACTGAATTAATTCCTTTTTTCCCTACTCCTACAGCAAAGTAGTATTAAGGAGCTTTCAGAAGTACCATCCAAAAAGGGTAGGGATGCAGTCTTTTTAACTGATGGCTTAAAAAACCCAAACAGCGAATGAGTAGGAAAGGTAGGTTAGCTGTCTTTGACTTCACCCTGTGTCCAAAAACCCAGGACTGAAATATCCTCATTGGAAGATGCAACTCAGTGCCGAAGACAGGGGTTTAGTTTTGGTGTGAAAACGCGAGGTGGTCACTGAATACATTAGAAAGTAGGATGGTGGTTACCAGGGAGTGGTGGACGGGGAGGGGGAGCCAATGTTTGAAGGGGGTTGGAGTTTTAGTTTGGGAAGATGAAAAATTCTGGAGATGATGGAGGTGATGGTTACACAACGAGAATGTACTTAACCGCCACTGAGCTGTGTGCTTAA